GGATAGGGGCTGCACCAGGGCGGGGGGTAGTGTAGACCCGACCTGATCGGCTGGAAGGGAAGGAAGGCGCCGAAGACGGAAGGGGACCGGTTCGAAAAGCGAGTGTGGGCCGCGCGGGAGGTCAGGCGGGGACCGTTCGGGGAGGCGACCGAGTCCGCGGTAGGGCGGGGGGGAATCGAAGTTGTCAGACCGCCTCCAAGTGACAGCGGGACCCCGTGCTCGTGGCTTGGCTTGGTCCTGCCTTGCTCGCCTTGCTGCCTTTCCTCCGGGGCCGGGGGCCGGGTCAGGTCGGGCCCAAGGGGCCCGCTCGGCCGTGAAGCGCCGGACAAAGGCGGCGCCGGTGAAGCGCCGGACAAAGGCGGAGGCCGAGCGGGCGCAGGTGGTGGCGTCGTGGAGGGGAGTGGGTCCTAGGTACCCATCCCGAGGGGTGTACGACAGGGCGGCACTCTGCCCGGGGGACTGCGGGAGGCCCGGGTGCCCGCCGGGAGGAGCTGCGGCACTGGCTCAGGGCTCCTGCCGCCGATAGCCTCACGGCACTGAGAAGAGTGGGGTCGACTGGGCCAGGGCGGAGGGGCAGAGATGGGGTGTGCACACTATGCACCATGCACCCTGGCCAGTGGCCATCGGGTTGCTGGACTCATCGAGGCGACAGTCCGGTGAGCCACTCTAGAGCCTGCCAGGAATGATGGGTTTTCAGCAGAGTCTGCCTATGGCAGAGGTTTAACCCCTACCTGGGACGTCTCCTGGTTGTCTATTGTGGACAGTCTTAAGAGTGCAGAAGACAAGTTCTGTTAGGACGGGTAAACACCCCTTAAATGTGCTCCAGCAGCCCCTCCATGACTGTCTTTAGCACTTTTCCCTAGCGTAGAAGGGAAATGAAAAGCTGAGTTTATAAACACAGGCAAGAATTTAATGATTACATAGGAAAGGTTTCGGTCCTTTTCCTTTGTGCCACCTGAGATGCCTCTCTATCCCCTTCACCTTTTTGCCTTCCACAAAAAGGAGAAAAGGGCCCCAGAGGGACCATATGTCTCAGAGTTACACCACTGTCCTTGGCCAGCTGGAGGACACTTGGGAACCATTGGCTTAAGCAGTGCATGCTTCTAACCCCACCATTGAGCAGTTCTAGGCTGGATGCTGCTTACTCGCTTGCAGAAAATCTCCTCAGGTACCCCTTCGTGTGACCCTACACCTGAAAAAAGTTAGGATCACAAAGGCAAGGAGATGCAGTCTGTTTTTAGAACGGGAACTTCCGCTGAGAGTGTGGGTCCGATTCCCACATCAGGTAGGGTTGATTAGGGGCTGCTTTCAGCAGTGGTTAGTTGTAATCCCATTCTGGGAAAGCCGTCAGCCTTCTAGAGGGGCAGTGTGTGCATGGAGTTAATTTATGGCCATCCCCTTCCCAGGAAGGTCTAGACCCCGCCTGGGTGGAGTTGAGGCTTGTGGGAAAGGGAGGTATTACCTCACGCAGGAGACTAAAGTTTGGCTTGAGGGAATTTAATTGTATGTCTAAATCCAGAGAACGATGAAGAATCTCAAGGCCTTGGTGCCTTCTGTGGGGCTGCATGCTGTGTAATTTCTTTTGGTAGTGGTCACAAGGGGGTGACTTGGTTTGGATGTTGGAATATGAAGGGGAATTGCCAAAATAACATTTCTCTCGTTGGTAGGGCTCTTACCTGGCTGGAGACTCAGTCCAGTCAGATCAAGTGTTGAGGATTTGCTCTGGAGAGTTCAGCCAGCAATGAGGGTCTCTGTTTGCTCATTCTCTCTCTCCCTTTCTCCTGTTCTGTCGTCCGCCATCCTCGCATCAGGCCTGTGTTGTCATAGCCTCCCTTGCCCTCCTGCTTCTGTTAGCCCTTCTGATCCAATCTGTACACAGCTGCCAGGTCGTTATTCCTAAAGCACACCTTGCTTATGTCACTCCCCTATTCACAAATGTGCAGTGGCTCCCCTTTTCCTGCAGCCTGACCCTAGTTAGTGTCCCCTAAAGCTTTAACCCTAGCTGTGCATGCTGTGCATGTTTATTTCCTGGCATCTCTGTCTTTGCTCCTGCCTCTTCCCCAGCCCCTTTCTTTCCCTGCTCCTCTGCTCCTCCCATTTGAGTCCCGCTTGTCCTTAGTCTTACTGTTGCGCAGGCCACTCCAGGCCAACATAGTCATCTGCTTCTGCGTTCTGAGCTTGCGATGCTGGATTTTCTGATACCATGTCTTCCCGAGTAGTTGTATAGGTTTGTTAGTTTCTTAGGGACAGGGACATAGTGAGTATTAAACCTGTGTGTTTGTGTGTGTGTGTGTGTGTGAGAGAGAGAGAGAGAGAGAGTGTGTTCCATTTGTTCATGTAATGCTGTGTACATCATTATTGCTGAATGTTAGATAAAGGCAGTGGCTGCTGAGTTGGTTGAGAATGGAGGGGAAATCTCTCCTTCAGCTTCTCTAGGAATGCTTAGTATGGAGGAGTCTTTGGGGGTTTGTATCTTGTTCTACTAAGGCATATAGGTAGGGCATATTTGGGGTGTTCTAGCATAGGAAATGGAGCAGTTGCTCCTGACATTTCTTTTTGCTGGTGAAGAGTCTGTCCTTTGAATTGCTCACATGACACCATATAGACATGAATTGGAAAAGGGCCGTAATCGTGTTTTCTTCCTCCCCACCAGACCAGTCTCTGCCCGACTTTGCTTCTCTTATGCAATTTTCCTTGTTGTCCATGCTAAATGAATCCATATGTTTTATCTCTTCTCAATCTGGGTGTAAATGAGAGAGAAAACACCATTCTGAAAACAGAGAAGAAAAATACCCCTGAGTCTAGCCTGTGGACCGGACTTTTGGGGCGGGTTTTGGAGGAGGTGTTGATGAGGGCATCACTGACACGAGAGGCACTGTCAGCCCCTCGTTGGATCCATCAGAAGGGAAAGCTGACTAATCCCAGTTCTCCCAGAACTTCGTCTTTATTCACCATCAACCCTGGACTGTGGGAGAGATAAGGAAGAGGACCCGTGACTGGTTTAAGGCTAGATGATGAAAAAATACATTTTGCTTCCACCCCCTTACCCCCCAAACCTCCCTTTTGTGCCCCAGTTTGATGATTAATGGACCAGCATTTCCCTTCCAAGCGGGAAGGCCACCCCTCACAGTTGCCATGGCAATGCAGACCGCTCCCCCGTCAATTAAAAAACAGCCCTACTACTTTTCTTCTCCTTCTACTATGGCAGGAGAAAAGCTACCTCCAAACGCCTTTCCTGGGCTCCCCCCGAGCTGCTCAAGCTGCTTTTGCTGTGGGTCCTAAGAACATAGTCCTTCCTC